AAGAAATCCTAATCCTAGTTGGTTTAACATTAGAGAAAGCCCAACTAGATTGTACGTGGACAACGCAAACAGGCCTTTTTTTTTTCTTTTTTCTTTTTTTATTTTTATTTTTATGTGCATGTGTTTTTTTCTTTTGGGGGGATAAAAAAAAAAAAAAGATAAAGAAAAGGTAAAATATGTAATTTTCAATCGATATTGGAGAGAGGAATGCTCTTTTAAATATTTTTAGTGTAATTTATAGAAACGGTATAATACTATAATTTTCAATTGATACCAGACACCGGAGTCTGCTGCTACGGTTGATACAAAATACCTTGTTGCGCCTGGCGTGATGCTCCAAGGCCTTGCGTGCTGCAATGGAAAAACAAGGAGGGACCAGCACGTTTTAGGGAAGAGGGTTGATCCCACTGAAAGTTCACTAAATTTGCCGCTATTGCTCATCAATTACGAATGAAACGCTTGCAGATTGTTACACATGGTGAGGACAAATGTTGTTTCTTGTCACTTTTCCAATTTCATAGAAAATGAACACTTCAACATGATCAAGAAATCTTCCATCTTCTCATGTACAAAAATGGACTTCCAAGGATTCAAGGAGTTTACCATGCATAGAAACGTCCCAAACACATTGCTTTTATTAGATTTTCAACAAAGTATCAAACAAAGCATATCGAAGAATTTAATAATAGATTATTATTAGCTAAAACCATCACTTTTATCTAAAACCATCACTTTTATCTAAAACCTTAAATTTTCTTGATTGAAACTAATAACATCTTCATCACCTTCCCCAAGAGGAAGAGCAGAACAAAACATAATTCAAAAGCATACAAACAAAACACTATGCTACACACCACCTTATGTAATTGCAATAGAACAGACTTCAAAATTAAGGCTGGCATCAGAGATGAAAGTCAAGTTCAAGCATGCCTTGCCTGGAAATCCTTCATGAAAGAAACCAACTTCTCCACTCCGGCCAAAGGCATGGCATTGTAGATGGAAGCCCTCATCCCTCCCACTGACCTATGTCCCTTAAGCTGAACCATTTTCTCCTTGGCAGCTTCCTTTATAAACTCTGCCTCCAACTCTGATTTCTCCAATGTGAATGGAACATTCATCAATGACCTCACTGATTTCTCAACAGGACACCGGTAGAATCCCTTGCTCTCATCAATTGCATTGTACAATAACTCTGCTTTCTTCTTGTTCTTCTTCTCAACCTCCTCCAATCCTCCCTGCTCCAGAAGATCTTCAAAGACCAAGCCGCACATGTAAATCCCATAGCAAGGAGGGGTGTTGTACAAGGAATTGTTCTCGGCATGGATTTTGTAATCAAACATCACAGGAGTGATATCTTGGGCATTTCCGATCAGATCCTTCCTGATTATGACAATAGTGACCCCAGATGGTCCTACATTCTTCTGAGCACCAGCATAGATCACCCCAAATTTGCTAACATCAACAGGCTTTGAACAGAAGTTGGAAGACATATCAGCTACGAGAACTCCATTCGGATTCTTGGGAACAGGGTAATTCTTAAACTCCACCCCATGAATAGTCTCATTGGTGCATATATGTAAATACTTGGCATCTGGGCTCTGCACCAAACCCTCAAAGGCAGGAATGTTTACGTATTTCTCAGATTTGCCAGACCAAATGAGTTTGGGCTTGCAATACTTCTGTGCTTCCTTGAAAGCCTTATCACCCCATGACCCAGTAACCACATAATCAACCGTATCATCGACCTGACACAAATTCAACGGAACAGCAGCGAACTGTGAGGTAGCACCGCCCTGGAGGAACAAAACGGCGTAATTCTCCGGAATTTTTAGAAGCGCACGGAGATCCGCCTCAGCTTTCCGGATAATAGATAGAAAATCCTTCCCACGGTGGCTCATTTCCATGACGCTCATACCGGATCCACGCCAGATGTACAGCTCCGACTGCGCATTGAGGAGGACGTTCTCTGGCAAGGTGGCAGGTCCCGGCGCAAAATTAAAGACCCGATCTTGCTGCTCGTTCTGGAACGGGGGTCGATCTTGGATTTGGGTAGCACTCGCCGCCGTAGCCGAGCATGAGATTGAGATGGGTTTGGTCGATCTGATCGCCGTCAGTGTGACAGAAATGGGTTCGGGTTTGAGAAAAGATTGTTTCCTGGATGTGTTTCGCAGCATGAGCGAGCTCGGGGTTTTTGATGCCGTTGCTGCCATGGCTGAAGTACAGAGACAGAGACTGAAGGGTTGGGGTGTGATGGAAAGATGTGAGCTGAGGTGAGAGGGTATAAAAATGGGATCTTTCGGTGTTGTGCCGGTGGGGTTGGTGAGAAGTGGAGTTAAATCCAAAAAAAATCCAACACCCGCAACCGTCTCGCTTTGCTTTGCTTTGCTTTGCTTTGCTTATGTCAAGGTTTTTACTTGGGATTTGTCTTATTGTGCACTGATAATTCAGATTAAGGGAGATTTAAATATATTTTTTATTTATTAATTTATATAAAAAAATAAAAAATTAGTATTAATTTTAATATTTCTAAGATATAGATATTTTTTATTAAATAATTAATAAAACTAATATCAATTTTTTTAATTTTATTGTATCTGTTAATAATAAAAAATTATAATGAAAAACCCTTTCACTTACCTTGCACATCTGATTTGGCTGCTTTAAATGGGCCTGGGCCCTGCTTCCCTGTTGCAACCTAAAATTCAGTGAGCTTAATCAGTGGGTAATCAAACGGTTTCATGCATCTAATTTTTTTTGGATTTTTTTAAAGAATTTATCTTCTTCTTTTTTTTTTTTTAACAAATAGTAATTATTTACATGTATCCATTAAGGGACGAAGAAAGGGATTTTGTGGAGCTTGAATATGTAATCCACATGAAATAGACTATTCTAATTTAAGATCTATATCATTGAATTAAAACGGATAATTCTTTTAAAAAATTTATCTATTATTATATTTTATCTTAAAAGTGATGAAATTGACTTTTTATTTCAGTAGTAGATGTTATTTGTTAAATTTTTATCGATTTATTTTAAATTAAAAAATATATCTTCTTAATTTAAAACTTTACATTTTTTAAAAAAATACTATAATTATTATTCAATTATTACTCCTTATCATGTACGTAAAAACTACACGATGGATAAGCTCTTTTTTAAAACACCTTCTAAGTTCACAGCCAAAGTATGTGATTAATATTGTCAACCATTAAAATAATTTAATAATATTTTTTGAATAAAAATAAAAGATAAATGTCATTAATATTGCCAACGACTAAGATAATTTAATAGTAATTTTCTTTGAATATAAGTAAGAGATTTTAAATTTAATTAATCTAATACGTGAGTAGACTAATTTTAAAAAATGAAAAGAGATTGTCTCTTATCATACAACTTAAAGTAAAAAATTTTAAGTTGATCATAATTTTAACAAGTAACTAATTAAGATTTTATTATTTTAAGAGTTCTTATTTTGCAGATATAACTACACCAGTTGTAA